GCATAGCACTTTTTAAAGTGAACAAGGGCACAGACAAACAACGTAGGAAAAAGGAAACAATGAACAGCTAGATCCAGTGTTAGGGTCCCAAAAAATTAGTGCCTGGATTCAAAAATATGTTCATGTCGAGTTAGACAAATTCATATGTAATTAAACAGTTCTTCGTGATAATGCTTCTTATATTGTCTATGGCATTTCTGAATTAATAGATGATGTCTTGAATATTTCGTCAATATTTGAAATATATTTAAAACTAAATTAATTTTATATTTTATATTTTAATTATTTAATCATATATTTTCAATAATTATTTATTAATAAATATAAATTTTTATGAGTTTGCAATTTAAATTTACATCAACGTCATGAGTTTATTTAAATAAGAAGTTTGACGAACATTGTCCACGGGTGAAGTCTATGCAAAGAAATGAACTTTTTACGCCGCAGGCCTAACCAAGATTAATAAACAAAATAATTATTTTTTCTATTTTTAAACAAGTCGAGAATAATAAACAGTAGTTTCACGTGGAGTTTGTGCTTGTCCGTTGTCTAAATTATTGTTATTCTTTGTGCTTTTTTTGTTTTCCAGTTTTCGCTTACTTTCTTACCTCACATTCTATTGTTCCTTATATTGGAGCGTCAGAGAAATATCTAACCAGTCTTTAATGTTTCCAACAGTTTAGGCAGTTCATTGTATCCCTTGTATAAAATTTATTCTAAAAACACAGTTTATTAAAATTATAAAGTGTCTAGTTAGAATATCAAATTATGTTTCATTTTCATCCATGTAATTTTTATAACTTTCTAGTAACTTGAACAATCGTGCTAAAGTTCATTAAATTAATAAGAGCATAATTAGAATATTATGATGTTTTTGAACAAAAAACTTAAAACAATTAAATGACTTTTCTCAATTTAGGTGAAAAATACATGAAACACCTTTACTAGAGAATGAACGGAATAATTATCAATGGTGATGTGATATAAAATTAATTAGATTTATAATTTTGGTTTTACTAAAAATGATATCTTGGATTTAGATTAGGATTTTGTTTGAATAAATTTAATTTTTATATTATTGTAAAATGTCCGTATTTTAATTAGTAATGATAAGGTCCTTGTACTCGTCCTTCTTGATTTATACTTTCTCATGAGTGTCGGGAATGATATGATTCTTGTAGCTTTTTTTATCCTAAAGTCCAATTATGTTTTTTAGTTAAGACAAAAAAAAAAAAACAAAGATTTTATTTCCAAGTAATTGGAGGCATTTTATTCATACATGAGGTTGGTTTAGCATTTATTCTTTAATTTTCACAATATTTGATACTCATCTTTCCTTTTAAAGAGGTTATTTATTGATTACACATGAAAAATTATATAAATCCATATAACTTTTGCATTCAGATTCTAAAATTTTAATAATAGCCGTCTCCAACGTATGCACCTGTATTGATATTAAAAATTTAATAGAAGTGAAGATAGATATCATATACTTTGAACGTTTGTAGCATAGGGCAAGCAAAGACCAAATAGAATGAGGCAAGCAATCAATTAAAGGTGTTCACTTTGCAACGTCTAGTTCCAATTTACTTCATGATTTTGTCTTACATTTCCATTATTCTTGCAGCTACATCTTTCAGAGGTTCTATTTGTCCCAGAGAATTTCAAGCAGGAAGAGAACAAGCTTGTTGCGCTGAGGCCTCTGCTTTCTTGGCTTTCTCCTTCTCAAGCAAGTAAAGTCTCTCTGCTTCTGGGATTGCCTGTATGATTGTCTGCAGCTTCAAATTCACTCCTCCATTTTCTCCATGATTCTGTCATTTGTAAACATTCCCAGAATCACAGTGTGGATGGTTTCCCAACTCTCGATCAGTGGCAAAGCTATTATCACTGCAGAACCAATGGTTCCCCAACCTATAGAAATCACAGCCCAGAAATAGAAGTACCCCTCACTAAACTGCCCTGTTCAAATAAACAAATCACACCAACAGTTTCAGTGAAATATGCTTTCAATATGTTTAATATATCCTTATGATTAGAATAAGAACTTACCTGCTGGGGGGAGAGGATAGGCCATATTATAGCTATCAAAACAGTGAAGCCTATGCCCCACTTCACTACCATCCATGCTTTGGCCATTAACAGCTTCTCTTCTCTGAACTCTTCTGCAGGAAGATCAGTTTTTTCCTTCTCAACATTGTAATTTGTCTAGTGGTAGTCCAGTCATAGTTCTGAGGCCATAACATGCTGCTGATTGCATGAATTGCTCCTCCAGTTAGGATTGAGACTAGGTTTCCAGCTAGCATAGGCGCATTTCTACCGGTTTTATCGAGGTTTACTGAGCCATACTCAATCTTTGTAACAGACAACCATGTGATGATTCCTAGGACACAAACAACAATTGTTCCAAGGATGGCCCCAATTGCATTTGCTCTTCTCCATAGAAGCATAAAAGCAATGGGAAGAACTGCTGAACCAATCAGAACTCCCATGGCAAGGTACATCCAACCCAGAGAAACACCAGCTTTGTTTAGTATAACTGCTAACAATCCCATGAAACACCCAAAACCCAGGACTACCCCTCTTGACACTTTTAAGATTTTCTTTCCACTTGCATTGGGATTTATGTAAGCACGGTAGATATCATATGTGCATAGAGAGGACACTGCAAT